CTGCCATGCCTGCCTTGCGCGAGTGTTTGAGTCGAAACCCGAAAACCCTATATGTTTTTGCGCCAACCCTAAACCCTAAGACCCTAAACCATAAACCCTGACGAGGAGATACCCTGCTGCTGGCATACCTCTTCCCCGAGGACTTATCTGCCATGGCCATGCGCTTTGGCTGAGGGTTGGGGATGTTTTTTGACAGTTGCAGAGTGCATCCAAGGTTCATTCGCAGTTTTTTCTGCAGGCTTGTAGTAGTTACATAATGTAGCTTTGTTTTTTGAGGTATTTAATAGTGTGCAGTGACGGAATTTGTTTTTGGTCCTTCAAGTGTTCAGCCAGTTTCAAATTGTCCAGGCCGGCATTCCCCGCCCTGCCCAGGAACGTGGTGCCGTCGGACCACTTCACTTCAAGCTCATCTCGGATTCTCGAGATCCTGAAATTTGCCCGGCTCTTTCGGATTGTTCAGCTCCCTGTCCTGATAGGTGCGAAACCCTAAACCCCTAAACCCTAAACGGGGGGGCGGTTGAATGGAAGCTCCCCAGTTCCATCATCACGAGGTTGCTGCGGACTCTGCATGGCATTGTCTGGCGGAACTTTCTGCGTCCACACCACGGCCTGGCACAGCAGCTCTACCACAAGAGGCCGCTGGCGCTGGTGGAAATAGCCTATAGATGTTAGGACCTGCTTAGGAGACACTTGCTTCAAGTCCCCAATGTCATATATGGTCCAAATTCAGAGCTTGATTGGCTCGAGACCTGCAGCGGTAGTCACACTGGAGCCATGGCCATGATACGAGTTCTGACGGAGGAGGGAGCCGACCACATCTTCCACCACCAGTACAAGCCGGGCCATTATACATACTGGGACAAAGCCATGAACCCGATCTGGAGCAGGATCGCGGAGGCTCTGCCCATGTGGTTGGCGCCGAACTTGGTCACCGTTATCGGCTTCGTCCCTTTGTGTGTCGTTTTCGTGGCCTCGTGGTACAGCGATCCCTTTTTTGGCCAAGCACCGCCTCGATGGCTATCTGTAAGCTGGTGCATCACGATGCTCTTCTACCAGACGATGGATGCTGTTGATGGCAAGCAAGCTCGCCGCACGGGCTCCTCTTCACCTCTGGGCCAGCTGTTCGACCATGGGCTTGACAGTGTGGCGAACTTGCTGCAGCACGCGGCGGTGGCCTCGATCGCATGCAGCAGCAGCATGCCCTGGATAATGTTCTCCATGGAATCTATGATGATCGGCTTTCTGCTGGCCGCGTGGCAGGAGTACCACACTGGGGTCTTCCCCACTGCGGCTGGTGAGATGGGCGTCACCGAAGGTCAGTTCACTGTGATGTCGGCGATGCTGCTGGCTGGTGTTGCTGGTCCAGAGGTATGGCAGGGCTTCTTGCGTGCAGCTCCTGACTGCATTCTCCTCAAGATGATTGCAGCCGTCGTGTGCACCATGTGGCTGGCGCCGTTGGCTACTACCCTGAAAGCTGCTGGACCCATCGCGCTGCAGGAGCTGGTGCCGATAGCCGTGACTTTCTTTGCTGCCCACTTCTGGCAGCATGACTTGATGGCCTCTTCGCCCCGGCTGGTGCTGCTACTCACAGGATTGAACTTCTGCTGGATGAACCTGCAGCTTATCGTGTTTACCATGGCCAGGATGCCTTTCTCCCCGGCTCAATGGTGTGTGCTGCCTTTCGTGGCTTCAGTGGCGGCATCTTGGGTATTACCGGTTTCGACTGCTAGAATCGTTCTCATCTCCCACATCTTCGTTTTCGGGAGCTGGTTGCTGGTGTGGATTGTGTCGGTGGTGCAGCAGCTGAAGCTAAAACTAGGAGTGTCCATGTTTTCCATCAAGAAGCGTTCTTGAAAATGGGGCCCTTTGAGTTTCTGCTCCATAATGCACGAGATGTTTCACAGGAGGACTGCCTTGCACAGCTTTTAGTGCGGGGCCATTCCTAACGGCTTGCGACACCGAAGATGCATTCTTTATACTGTTGGACACCCCTGCATGTGACAGTTTCCGAAAATTAGGGTACCTTATTTGGGGCCCTTATGATAAGGATCCTACTATTCGGGGTACTATATTAGGGTTCCCTATTTTCGGAAACCCCCATGTACCGGTAGTCATCGTGGGACTTTCGAGGTGAAGCCGCGCCTGCTCGGTGCGAGATTGCGAGTCGAGTCTAGGAGGTTAAATCAGAATCATGGGGCCCTTATCATACGGTTTAGGGTTTAGGCTTTCGCGAGGGATTTGGCCGGGCGAGCTCAGTTCAAGCCTGTGGAGGACAAAAAAGGCTTTAAGGTTTGGGGGCGTTTCACAGAGGTGCCCCCTAAGAAAAAAACACCCAAAAATCACGCCGAAAACTCGGGCCCCTGTCCCTCCTCACCCTTTGCTGGACAGGCTCTGGCGCGTCTTCCAGGACCTCGATGAGGCTCCGTCCCCCCCCTGCTTTGTTTTGCTGCTGGTAATATAGGGGCCTTAATAATTTCCTATACTCGTTCCTTATTGGAATTATAATATAACGGGCCCAAAACTCTGTTCTAATTATTAAGGCCCCTACATTACTACTGTTGATGATATAAATCCGGCATTGCCTCAAGGACCCTAAACTATGGGGAATTATGGTATAAACCTTACGATGGGTCATGCAGGCTTTATATCATCAACCGTAGGGATTCGAGGTTGCTTGTGTCACAGGGGCTTTGGGCCTTGACTTCATGTCACTAGGTTTGGACTTCAGGCTTCCGCTATAGGACGCTGGATAGTAGTATGGGTTCTTAGCCTTGCAATCTATACTTGCAGCGCGCCACGCCCCTGACAACCCTGGTGTCCATTTTTTTGGGGCTCTGTCTGACATGCAAGATCAAGACTCATGATGAAACCCCGAAAGAGAAGGCTCGAACATGGAGGAGAGAACCAGTGAAGGGGCTGTACTTCTTTCGCATTTATTGGGAAAAGGAAAAGATGATGTCGTGCTTATTCTTAGAAGCCGAGGTCTGGGATTGCTACTTATGCGCAGAAACGGATGGACCCAGTGACCCAGTACTGTGCCCCAGCGGCTGAATTAGCGTACTGAGCGTCTGCATTAAGCTGACACTGAAAACTCCTGAACCCCAAACCGTGCCGCAAGCCGTAGGACCCCCAATAATTCGTAGGACTTCGAACCCTAAAGCTATCAATTTCCAGTGAACAAACCCGAAAACACATGGAAATCCCAATCGAGGCTGCTTGAACAACCCCAAACATGATCCTTGGCGCTTAGTCTGCGGATCCCTAAACCCTAAACACGGGCTTTAGCGGCCTCAATAACAAGCCTAGGCCCCAGCACCTGACAAAAATGAACTCTAGAACGAATCTCATCATCACTGTTGATGGACAACACCCAGCACTATTCACTATCCGTTTGCACTGCCCAAACTGTCGCTTGCCTGTCCGGAAGAATTGGGAGCGCACCTGCGCAAACCGTCGTCCAACAAATACCATTTGCCCCCTGTGGGTGGCACTTTGCGACTGTGAAACCCCAAATAACCTACCTTTTTAAAGACTTATATTAAAGAATTCATAATAAGGATCCCTAAAAAGGTAGGTTCTTCAGGGTCCAGGAAGGGTTAACGTTCAACCATAAACCTCCTGAGCGCCAAAGCCCTACAAGGTTTAGGGCTTAGGGGTTTAGGGTTTGGGCTTTAGGCTTTAGGGTTTATCTAGGGCTTAGGGTTTAGGGCTTACAGGTTTTGGGCTTAGGCTTTAGGCTTTCGGGTTTATATAGGGTTTAGGGTTTAGGGCTTACAAGTTTAGGGTTTAGGGTTTAGGTTTTACAGGTTTATTGTTCAGGGTTTAGGGTGTAGGGTCTGCAAGGCGTGCCTTTTCCTGGACATCGGGGCTGAGCTCTCTGCGAATGACCGCGGAGACCTCCCAGAAGACATGGCGCCCTGGCGACCTAAAAGGTTTTAGGGTTCATATACCATATAGGGATTCATAGTATAAGGGTATGGGGCCCCTGTTGAGATGTACAGCCTAGCATAGCCCTTACCTTGGCTTTTGGCTCAAGTAAAATAGTTGCCCTGCGCCCTTTGTGCTCCATATGTTTCGTGCATGGTAGCGGAGCGCTTCTACGGTTCATTGGACCTGGGGAGTGTACTGATTACGCTGCTCTGCGTGCTCCTGGGTCGGTGGGTCTGTTCGGCTGTTTCGGCCGGACGAGACCGGGCCCTAGAGCAGAGGAGAAGAGAAGCCGCCACCGAACGGTGGGCGAGGCTCGTGCGGAAGGCACGTGGAGTGAGGAAGCAGCAGAGGTACTTTGCCTTTTTAGGCCACCTGCTGCAGGAGCTGCCAGCAAGCCAGGCTTTTAGGAAGCGGCTGGCGAGATGTCTGTGACAGCGGAGCAAGT